GGTATTATACGTTGTATATATACGCAGTATACACGGTGTATACGGTGGTGGCAGTGGCCGTGGTGGTCGTGGTGGTCGTGGTGGCCGTGGTGGTCGTAATATACTGAGGTATTATACGTTGTATATATACGCATTATACACGGTGTATACGGTGGTGGCAGTGGCCGTGGTGGTCGTGGTGAATCTATTATAAAAATATCGTAAAACCCGTCACATGGATGGATCGTATTTCAATTTTATATAAGACATTTTATGTATGAGGCGTATTTTCCGCAAATTCCAATATAACTTCTAGTGATTAAACGCACTCACGGCACTAAAATTGAGAGCTTGTTTATCATGTAACATATTAAAGGCAGTAAAGACATGAATGCGGAGACCGAAAACCACATTCTAGCTCCGGCTGAGACCAAACCAAGGTTTTGCTATATATATACATGCAATAATATTTTTTAACCTAAGGGAAGCCTCACATATCGATTTTGTCCATGAGAAACGTCATATGTTGGTCTCTCTGAAGACCCCCCCCCCCACCCCCCTTAGAAACGTCACACATAGTTATCGATATTTTGTTCTTACAGTACACTATGAGTACACATAAGGTAATATTCTACTATTTTTTTTCGGCGATGCTTCCGCGAGGAATATGTCATCTTCTGCTGACATACTCTTTTTTTATTAATATATATATGAACTTCAAAATTTCCAACGTTTCTCAAAACAACTTTTTTTGCATGAAATATTGATAATTTTAGCGCGTTTTTCTTGAAATTTGAGTGTTTTCAATGCATGGAAGGCGTAATAATATAAATGTATAGGTATAGAACAGGTATGGTATGGTATGGTATTACGAATATATAGACTGCTGTTTGTATCGAATTGTTTTCTTTTTTATATTCTGCAAAGATAAAAATTATCGACCCCAAACGAACATATGACGTTTCTCGTGGAAAAAATCGATATGTGACGCTTCCCTAAATTGCTTTGTATGCATGTTGCAGCAAAAATTTGGTCTAGTGCATAACTGCATGGCCTGCAATCTGTATAATACATGACACGATAATTATTTTTACCTGACGGTTCGTGCAACAGTTTTTTTCGTTGCCGTCGCCCAAACAAATCTCAGGGAAAACGCCACATACACCACAAACTACATCGTCAAGATTTCTTTCTGTTATCATCTCAAAGCTATAAAAACCATTGTACAGGAGATCTTCAATGTACATCATTTCGCCATCTGATGGAACTAAGCTCTAAAACATACAAGCATGCATGCACAATGAATAAATACGTTTTTCGTGATATAGATTAAACGGGCGATTTTTGCTGCGATTTGGTTGCGATTTTCTCCTTTTGGAGGATCTGAAGGAGTAGATTCACTTAATGATGTTGTTATGAGAATTCATAACCTGGAACATTTATAACTCATCCATGCACTCCTTTACATCCTCCAAAAGGAGAAAATCGCAAATAAAATCGCAGCAAAAATCGCCCGTGTAAACGGGCCTTATATGACATTAACTAAATTACTAAATTGTTACTAATTAAAAAACTTAACTCCTAATCGAAAAATTATAATTCCTGAATAAATCAAATTATTTTATTTCTTGAATCTTGGCCGGTTATACAGTCAATACATAATAACTATTATAAGTATAGGAATTACCTATGTTATTAAAAGAACCACTTCTCAACTACAGTATCCCAAAAGTAAATGACATGTACAAATGCATTTTTGCCTAAACTTGTTAAAACTACTATGATTATTTGCTGCTAACCTCTTCGCATTTGGCCGTCAGGGTTATAAGCTTTGCATGCGGAATAACATTTCCTATAGGATGTTCCATCTTGAAAAACTCTCTGAATTCCAGTAGGATATCCAGCGAAACCAAAACTTTGTCACTGATGTTGAACAAACCTATAATATAGAAAGAAGCACGCGCGCATATTAGGAAATCAACAATTTTTTTCAAGTTAACTTTAGTTCTATATGTAATATGATAAATCGCATGCTGCAAGTATCATGAATGTCTGAGTGATAGTCTTGTAGCAATTAATTCAATAATCAGTGCAACCATATCACAAATTCTCATTTGCTATTACCGAAACGCTCTATAAAGGCCCACACAGCCGGACGCGATTCGGCAACGCCACGCGAATTTTCAATTTTCAATAACATTTAACTTTAATATTTTTCTATGTTTTTCAAATATTCGGAACCACTTGAGCAATTTTAGCTATTTGGTCTGCATAGCTTATAAAATTTTTATCCGTTGATGGTTTTATTTGGTTTGATTAAAAAACTGAAAAAATTTGCGTCGCGTTGTCGAATCGCGTTCGGTCTGTTTGGGCCTTAAGCCTCCAATGCATGAACATAAACCCACACCCCACCTCAAACTGCCAAAGGGCAAAGGCTGCTTTTCCTATAATCTTCGGTTAGTCTATAAAGGTCTCTACAAGTATAGGATTGGGTCAGGGCAAACTGAGCCTGAGGTGAGGGTAATATACCAAGTTGAGACTTTGTGACACGCGGGTGCAATAATTTCTTAATAATGATTGAACTGTGCAAAAGCCTGGAACATGCAGAGCTGCATGGTTGGCTGTTCACAGTCGAGATAAACATGACCGGGTAACTATAGTTCCTGGAATTAACAGGCACAAGCCACAACTATAGGTTTTCCGATATAGTATTGTTATGGCCTACCTAGTTTTTCCACAGATGCTTGATGCATTGCATAACATGCACGAGATGAACAAAATTTAACTTTTATATCCACTTGCTTAAACGGGTTAAGTTCTGTGAGCAGATAGCACGGGTTGTTTTGAGATTGTCCGGGATGAATGCAGGTATCACCTAACACGGAACCACATAGCTGACAGTTTTCCAAATCAGGTATGAAACTGTTTGGCCACATCTCACCAACACCAAGCAATGTACAAGCATCTCTCTTTGCTACTGACTGCAACAAATCATGGGGTAAAATATATGGCAAAATTTTAACCTTCTCGGCTAAAGACAACGTAGAAAGACGTTTAGTTAGTTCACTTGAATTTACCGTAGGCCCAGGTTCTGTTGATGATTCGGCTTCAAAAGTTGCATTGTTGTTGGTATCACCAGTCGTGTCCAAAGTATTGGTGACAAAACACGAATGCAATATAGCTATATGCATGCACATTGATTTTGTTCTGACTTGCTTGCCTTTAGCAGCAAATCCTCGGCAGTCTTTTCCGGTGCAAATGAAGTGATTCAATTCAGTTGCACTTTTGCGGACATGGCAGTACCCGAGAGGATTACTTGCTGTTATAGGTCCGAACGCACAGAACATTGCATCGGATACCTGGACCGCAGCACTTGCCATAGGCATAGATCCAGCTACATTTAGCACATCTTGTATGGAATTTCTGAGAGTTTCACTACACACAAAGTTATCTAAGTCAGGTTTCAAAATAGCGACCGGAGGAGATTTGTCACAAAACTTTACTTCATCGATATGACGACAACTAAACTCGGCTAAGCGTGATGAATTGTGTTGAACTGATCTTGCAATCTTGCATTCCTCAAGACTACAAAACCACAAATTACCATCAGTGGTAACAAAACAGCGATCGTCTCGTGTACTGGTTGTAACGCTGTATATACCTTTAGAGATTTCTACTGCTCTAGGGGAATATTTAACTTTCTTGGTTGATGGTTCAAATGTTCCTCCTAGCGCATAGCCACACATCCCACACTTTGATGGCTTGTAGCGGTTAAAGTACTGTGCTTTACAGTTAGGGCAAGAACCACGGCCACGCTGACTCATTGTTTCTTTATCAATGCTGATACGTTTGCATGTATTCGCTTTTAAAATTAGGAAATTGGTACATGTGTGAATCATGAACTGGATTTATATAGAGTTTAATAGTTCCCTGATAACATTTAATCCTTCTTGACAGCTGCAATTAACACGTCGCCAGTTTTTAAGAGTAACACATTGATTAAAGTAAATAAAGGAAAGTGCCAATTTAGGGGAATTACTTTTATCGCATACCGATCACCGCTATCGTATCAATGACAATGCCACATGGTACTGATTCACACTGAGAAATCGTGAACTAACATTATCTTTCCTCCTGTTGCAATAATAGAAAGCGTATAAATTTTAGCCGTTTTGAGAAACGATCATCTCCTGTCATTATATCAGTTTATTGCTAAATAATTCGATTATAAAATATAGAACAGGCTTTATCCACGACCAGTCCACGTCTAATTCTACACAGTATAAATGTTTTACAATTACTTTAGTTATATATATATACGCGGTGTTTCCACAAACAAAAAGTCTTGTGTGTTTTATCGCAATGCATGCCAACCTACAAAGAACTTTATAGTACATACTCTTTACTCTGCAAACGTCACACTTATACAACTTACAGTATTTTATGAAGAGGGTGGTTATACGTTAATCATTATCAATAAAAAATATCAGTGTTTTAATAATACACAATTTCTACTAACATTATTCGCATTATTCATTAATTTAGCCTATCTTCAAACGTCGCGCTTATCGTGTTCGAACCTGTAATATTGTAATGCGGGTGACTGTATTTTTTCGTGATAGTCAGTGATTACTCCATTAGACATTACCGCGGTGACAACACTCAGCATTACTGTCATTACTCATTACTACATTAGGTTGGCACACGTAAAAATTGACGTTTAAACTAGGCATAACAATAAATATTATATGGCGCTGTTATACTAGAATGAGGTATAAATGTTGCGTGTTCGCATAAATTTGGATTGACCTAAAACAGTTTATATGTCATTTTCGTTTTCCAAAAACTCTTTGTCCTTTGACTTTGGCACTTGCTTCTTCTTCTTTGTTTTGCCTTTAGACACCCAATATCAAGACTGAGCTTAGATGTTTTGTACAGACATCATTTCAACACATACTTCATTTCTATAGCAACTTTCCTACCTATATAATTATAATTTCACAATGTTTATAAATGAATGTATGAACAGTGATATAACTAGCATAATTAATAAGCTTATACTTTTCATAAACGCCAAGAAATGCACTGCACTCTGACTAAGAGGTTGTTCACTATACTCTATACTATAATCTATTTCAGAGTCATCGTCAGAAACAATGAACAAGACCACTGATATACATATAAAACAACGTTATTAACTCCGAAAATATTTTAATATTCTAGCCGGACTAAGTTCAGTCATCATCAGAAACTGCTAGGTTACATTTATACATCGATACCAGATGATGACTGAATCTTAGTCGAAAGCTAGAATATTAAAATACTTATTTTACCATATACATCATATATATCATCGTGTATGTCAAATACATCATACATGCATGTTCATATTATGAATGGCCATGAATACATAAAAATATAATTATACATATAATTATACATAATATGACATATATTTTAATTGTTAAAATTTAACATAATGAAAGGCTTGGAAGTTTCAATGCAAGCAGCAAAATATTTCGATATGATCACGGCTGTGTAGTATAGTGAAATATGACACGAACGCCCTCTGGCTGATTATGATGTTCTGTCATGCTATCCTCACGCGATCTACCTTCATTTCACGAACCTCACGCAATCTTTGTTGTTATATAATTCGGTATTAATACCAACATATTCCCAAATTATATAAACCAGTACAAACTATATTTTGGACATGTTAAGATGAAAATGTTCTCGAGTGTGTATTATATAATTTCCATACCCAGCGCAAACAGAAAGATAAAGTCTGCCGCGGCTGGGTCTTGAACCCGCGACCTTCGAATTACTAGATCGACGCTCTATACACGGTCAGACGGATTTAAGACTAGAAATTATGAAATATATACTGAATACTGGTAGAACGTCGAACTAGTAATTCGAAGGCTAGTAATTCGAAGGTCGCGGGTTCAAGACCCAGCCGCGGCAGGAAATTATATAATACACACCCGAGAACATTTTCATCTTATAAAACAACCTAGCCTACTCGTATTGACCAACTGTCAATTCATGATACGTCATAATAGAAAACGCATTATTGATTGGTCGACCACCACGACCACCAAATAGCATGATTCAGCCAATAGCGTACGACCTTTCGAACAGTGCGTTCTAACAGGATTTATAAACTATTTAACCCCCGGCGTATATCAATGCCATTTCTTTTATAGCCCCGAAATATACCCCATTTTCAAACCGCGATAACTCGTCAGTTCGAGGGGGTTATTTGTGTTTTGAAGTATCAATAGAAAGAATAACCCTTTCTGAATTCGATGCTGTAAATTTTGTTGAATTTCCTGATTTAAAAAGTATTTAGCCCCCGGCGAGAATCGGAGGCATTTTTGTAACATGTGCACTGACCCGAAACCAAGGGTAATTCAATGCGTGATTAACATCACTGAAGCATGATACGACAACCACATAAAACAAAAATTGTGCAATTAAGGTCACAAATAAAACAATTATAAAAACGTACCTTCCAAAAATCAAAATTTTCAGAGTGAAAATTCGCGATAGAAAACCACAATTTTTCGACAAACATCTCTCAAAGACTCGCAAAGTTCAATTTCGAATATTAATGAGAAGCAATGCATTGTGGTATAGTGACCACTCCTCCTCTGGATTATCCCAGAGCCTTCGTTTCCTTCCCAAGGATCGCAGGCTCGGGGAACGAGATTGTTCAAGGATGTGAAAGTCGTACACGTTATTCTCGTCCGTGAAAGACAACAAACAACTATTAAAACCTCCCAAAATGTGGACAAAAACGATATTTCAAGCCGGGCTATAAACAGCAGTCTATAAACATGCAGTCAACTATAAACAGGTAAACATTTTAAAATTCACATTTTTATTTTAGTATTTCATGAAAAAATGTTAGGAATAAATGGTAAAATGTACTCTATTTTTTTAGAAAATAAGCCACAAGTGTTTATAATGTGGTTGTAGATAAACCTTTTTGTATTTACTGTATTAACTTTATGCAATGTTTCATCCCTCGCAATATCGAGTTGCACAACAGTACATGTATGATGAAACTATGATGTTCTGGTGTATTAAAGAGGAAATTAAGGTTTTATATATTTAGCCAAGGGTTTTGTTATGCATGAGCTTGTGGTGAACTGGTGCAGGAAAAAGCTTGGCTGCCTAGTAGGGCCAGCTGAAGTGAGAGGGCATGTTTTATATCCAGAATTGTACATTGTAGTTTTAATACGTGCTCTCTGATTGTATTGTATTGTATCATTTGTATGATAGTTTGTTGTATGTGTCTTTAAAAGGCCATTAGCTTGTTTGCCCCATCCCTCAAATATTAAGTTAATTGTGAGTCTCTAGTTTTGCCATATTGCAGTAAGCGAGACTTCACTGTGTGGTTATTTTAATATTTTTATAGTGGAAATTCCTTTCAATTTGCATGGATAACCTGGCTCAGTTTGAGATCTCACTTGAACAAGACAAGATCTCTAAATGTTAGACAAGATAGTTACTAACCTGACTGACTTGGTCAAAATGAAGTCAAAACAACAAAATTGGTCATGAAAATATAGTGTCAAAACAATAGAGATGCAGAATTTTCCAACAATGCATGAGTCCATGCCACTGTTGTTTAACTGTTAATGAAACTCAGTACCAAGCTGCAACATGTTTGTAAATTAAAGATTCAAAATCATGATTAATTTTGTATTATTTTAATTAAACTTGGTCAAAGAATAATGATCAAATTAATAATTGTAACTACAATCAAGTTACAATATGTGATAGAGTATTATTACAACTGTAGCTCCATGGGTGATTATTTGGCTGTTCCCTGTTTTGATGCCTTTGGCACCATTTCTTGTAGTACAGATAACAGCGAGGGTTTTTTTCAGGATTTTCTATTGGATCCGTTTTTGCAGAGAAGATTGAGTTTAGCTGAACAGCTGTGGTGGTTGCAACCCCCCCCCCCCCTACCGGGGGGCTGACACTTGTACTCAACAAATGTAGTTGAGACGGAATGTGTTAAAGCAGGGGCATTGAGGGACACTATAAACTGGTTAACAATGGCGAATGCATAGTTTTTCTTGTGTTGTGAGATGAATTCCAGCCATTTTTTCCTAATTGTCGGGTTTCCAAATGAAAACTAATTTCCACACGTCACAAATTTAACTCAAACAACTTCATTTTTACTGCACTGAAACTTTGGTGAGAAGATTGAGTTTCAAAACTCAATTCAAGATTGAGTTTTTGGGGCTGTTTAACGGCCCTAAAAAATCCCTGAAAAAAAGCTTGACTTAGACTTTGGAGAAAAGTCATTGTTAGTTTTTCCAGTTACAGTAGGTCTGGCAAGTGCCACCACTACTATAACACCACTATTCTTGTTATTTGAACATTCCAAAGAACTTGTCCACATGACTTACATCCCGGATCACCCTAAATGAGAAATGTCAATTATATTTATAAAATAGTGACAGCTAGTATCATTAGAACACACTTTGAAGAAATAGTGAGTCACATATAG